GTGGGGGGGGGGGTTGGGATCGTTGTGGATTTTTTGGTTCAAGAAGATAGCAATTTGTGTTGGTGAAGCCATCACAGAGCGAGCTCCAATTTTGCATCGAGAATTGTGCTACTTCCACTTCTGCTATGTGAGAGCAAAGCTTGGGTTTTTGAAGGATTCCAGTCTCTGAAGAGGAGGCCTGTTTGGGGCTATCTTTAGAGCTTGATTTTCCCCAACCATCACCAATCAAATTGAGCCTACCTGATTGCAATTGTTTGGAGAGCTTGCATTTGTTGGTGTGCTTGATTGCAAGATGCCAATTAAATGAACACCAGCTCTCAAAGATTGCCAAAACAGGTGTAGTTCAGCTAAGTGTCTGCCTCTTCTTGCTGCTTTCTTTCACCATATCGCTTAGCTCCAAGCCCATCTGAATTATGCCCACGTCTTCTCCATTGTCATTGAAAGGGTGAGAGAAGAGAGGGACGGCTTCATCTTGTCAAAAAAAAAGAGAGGGAAGGCTTGGAACAAGAGGAAATATGGAGGGCTTTCATGTGCTTCGAGGCACCAGGAATCTCTGGTTTGAGACCACACATCTATGACTGTAAAATGTCACAATTGCTCCAAAAAATTGACTTCAGAGCCAAAAAAGGGACTGGTCTTGTTGCTATTCATTGTATTACCATGACTGAAATGGGTGCTACTACCTCTAAGGTGTTCACAGAGACTTAGTTAAGCTCATCAATGTAGTTTGACAAGAAAATGCTATAGAGAGACACAGAGAAAGAGGGAAATCTGGATATAGAAACACAAAAAGGGCAATTCTATGGAGATAAACATGATAAGCAATGCAAGAAACGAGTGGTTCTGGAGGGGGAGTCACCAAAAGGACAGGGTTTTTGATCTGGATTTATTTTGAAGTCACCAAGGGGTCCCTTTTTTTGTGGCGTGGTTGCGGGGGGGAGGGGGGTGGTTGTGTTTAGGGAGAGAGACTGCTTGTGATGATGGGAGGGAGAGAAGAGAGGGTTTCAGAGAGAGAGGATCCATGAGAGAATGAAAGAGAAACAATTTAGTGCTTAGGGCTTCATCGTAATTCGTATATTCATTCGCTGTTTTGTGGGGAGAAAAGAAGAAGGAAATAGGTGGATATGCACAGGAGGTGGATGAAGGGTTTTGGGAAGTTTAACATTTTCTGTTTCTTTTTTCTTTTCTTTTTTTGTTTTTTTTAATCATGTCTTCAAACTTTCTTCTCCCATGGTGTTAAGTTTTTTGAACTGTCACAATTCTTCAAGCAATGTTCTGGTAGTACTAGTTTGCCATAAATTTTAAGAGGAAGAACTGATGTGATACTTTGCATGGTTGATCTTTGGAATTGCAGGTGAAAACTGTTGTTTTCGATAAGACTGGGACTTTGACTGTGGGAAAACCGGTGGTGGTTAGTACAAAGCTCTTCTACAATGTAGCAATCCTGGAATTCTGTGAGATGGTTGCTGCTGTCGAGGTAGGGATTTTGAATATCAGTGAAAGTTAATCCATGCGAGAACTGGTAATTATGGTCTGAAGAATAAGATAAACTTCATTTTCAGAAAGTACTCTTATCATGGTTATCAAAATGAATAAGATATCTATCTTGAAGTTACCAAAGTTCATCAATTTTCTTGGAATAATATTTTTAGTCATTTCAATCAATAGGGACACCTTCTAATAGTATTGGATTTTAGACCTGCTAAAAAATAATTAAATTTCTTCTGCTATATATATGAAACTGATTAGACATTTGTTCCTCAAAGCGTAATTTGTAGAAATCAGATTTAAGAGCACAAATGGGTTCTCCAAGAGTAGCTTTTTTGCTTAGTATCATAGCACTTTTATGTTTGAACTTTGAACAATGTTGCGGCAAAATAAGATCTCTTTTACACTTGTTTTCCACCCACTCAAGTTAAAATGCTATGGGTTTGGCATCCCATTGCAGTTTGTAGAGTAGGAAGAAAGGGTTCGGGGGTTCTTTTTATAGGTAATTGGTGATAAAAAGCAGTGTTTTGAAATTCTGCTCCATAGCATAAGGTTACACTATTACGGTGTAACCATCATACGATCATGACCTGTTGACCACCATAGGATCATGCAGCTATTGCTTTTCAGTGCATTAAATACCCCTTCTCTAACATTGTCTTCAGTATATAAAAAGTTGAATTTGCATATAATAATTATGTTTGTATATTTCAGATCCATGGCCATCTTATTTTATCTGAATAATGAAACAACCTGCTAAAATTTTGCAAAAAGTTTCCCATTATCATTTAACATTTTAAGAAACATTAAGGGTATCAATTTAAAATCTTCTTGGTTTTGTCATTGTAGACTTTTTCTTCTTCTTGATCTATACCACATTTAAGGTTCTGAAAACTGGAGTGCAAGGGGAGTTTGGGAAAAATTTCAAAAATAACCCTGACTTTTCCCAATGGGGAAACCTTTTGTCCTTTCTGCAATGTCATCTCATATTTTGGGTAAAAACACTCTCCCTTAGTTCTAGATAAATTTAGTTGGAGTAGTAAATATCTAACTTCTTTGTGTGCAATTATTTTGAAGACCACCAACTCAAAAGAAAACTACTCTGGCTTAACTGGTTCTGAAGATCTACAAAAACCTTTAAAGAAATACCACACTGGTGTTTCGTAAAAATGGAGTCTGTATTTTTAACTATGGTACTGCACTCTGCCAAGGACTACATTTCTTCTAATGAAGACAACTCTTGCTTTTCCACATTGATAAATGAACTCCTCAAAGCACAGACCCAATTCCCACTCACTCTCTCCATCTCGCTTCACTGATGAGACACACGAAGGTGATATGGAGCTGACCTGGATGTCTCTATGCACGCACACACACACACACACACACACACACACACACACACACACACACACACACACACACACACACACACAGATGCCTATATATCAACCATGAACAAGAATATATTGATATGTTCCCTTTTATATTTTCTATCTTTTTATTTTTAATTTTATTTTATTTTTGGTGAGTCCCTGTATGCATATTTATTAGCAACTTAGGTTCATTCTGTTGAATTTTCCTATGGGACTGTATTTTAACATGAATTCACTTCACAGTCTAACAGCGAGCACCCTTTGGCAAAGGCTGTGGTGGAGCATGCTAAAAGGCTTCGACAACAATATGGAACCGATGCAAGCTTCATGCCTGAAGTGACTGACTTTGAGACCCATCCTGGAGCTGGGATTAGGGGTGTGATTGGTGGCAAAGAGGTTTTAGCTGGGAACAAGAAACTCATGGCCACCTATGGTGTCATACTTAGCCATGAGGTTGAGGATTACTTGGCTGAAACCGAGCAATTGGCTCGAACAATTATTCTTGTGGCTCTTGAAGGAAAGGTGGCTGGATGCTTTGCTGTGATGGACCCAGTGAAGCCTGAAGCTGCGCAGGTGGTGTCGTTCCTAAAGTCAATGGGGATTTCAAGCATCATGGTCACAGGAGACAATTTCTCGACTGCGACTGCCATAGCAAAGGAGGTTGGAATTCCTAAGGTCTTTGCGGAGACGGATCCTGTGGGCAAAGCTGAGAAAGTTAAGGAGCTACAGGTAAATTACTTGTACTATATATATATATATATATATATATATATATATATATATATATAGTANAGTAGAGAAGAGAGAGGAGNGAGAGAGTAGAGAGAGAGTANAGTACGTAGTAAAGTAAGAAGGACCGTAGTAACCGTAAGGTTAACTAACGTTCTC